TCTTAGCGGAACACAACTTGCCGTTCAGGTAATTTATACAGATAATGAAAATGTTATATTATTTTACGGTATCGAGGTTTATAGCCTGTGATGGAGAAATATAATAATCCGAAAGCAAGTTTACCACATCATCATCATAAGGGGGCATACGCATGGCTGCGCTTTGCCGCGCCCAACCTTTGCCTCCATCTCCTGGGGTCCCTCCGAGCGAACCTCCATGCAGCATTCCTTCCCACTCCCAGTACATCTTGGCAGATCTGATCGACTTACTTCAGCCATGAGTTCCGTGGCCTTCCCCTTGGTCTTCTCCAGCCTGGGTCAACCCTCTCGGAGATGACCCTATGAGCCGGATCTTCCTCAGGGAAACGGGCCACATGTCCATAGAGCTGAAGCTTGGCGCTCTCGTATCAGACTGGTAATAGGTCTTGAATCAGTCTCATGGAGTATCCTCTGATTGGACACATGGTCCCTCCAGGTATACCCCATGATTCTGCGAAGACACTTAGTACCAAAGGAGTTAAGACGGGCTTTCAGAGCACTGTTCAGTGTCCAGGTCTCACACCCGTAGAGCAAGACCGGGATCACTAGTGCTCTGAGGAGCCTGATCTTAGTTCTCCTAGTCAAATACCGACAGCGCCAAATACTCCTATTGAGTGAGTCCATAACGCCGTAGGCCAGTCCGAGTCGTCGAGTGACTTCCCGGTCGGAACCTCCGTCGCTCTGCACTACACTACCAAGATAAGTGAAGCTATCCAAGACCTCAATGTTCTTGCCACAGGCATGCACAGACTGAACATCGACATCCAAAAAGTCCCCAAATTCCTGAACCTTGGTCTTGGTCCAGTTGACCGCGAGTCCCAATGGCTTTGCCTCCTCATGCAGCGCCTCGAGAGCTACTTCCAGGACCTCTAATGTCTCCGCTAGAATCACTGCATCATCGGCAAAGTCAAGGTCTGTGACCTTGAAATTACCAATTGATGCCCCACCGGAACTATGGTTCACGGTACGGCCAAGTATCCAGTCCATACAAGTGTTGAAAAGGGTTGGGGCCAGGACACATCCCTGTCTCACCCCGGCAGACACCGGGAAGAAGGCAGAGATGCCCTCCCCACACTTGACAGCACTCTCAGTATCTGTATACAGGCCAGACAGCAAACCAATAATTCCAGGGGGGATCCCACGGAGACCCAGTAGGCTCCAGAGACTCTCCCGGTGCACTGAGTCGAAAGCCTTCTTGAGATCAACATAAGCTGCAAACATACCCTGTTGAAACTCAAGTCGGCGTTCCACAAGGACACGAAGTGCTAAGACACGGTCTATAGTTGACTTCTTGGGTGTAAAACCAGACTGCTCAGGTCTCTGTGCTCGTAATAGGTGGTCGCGCACTTGTGCCAGAAGCAGATGAGCGAGGACCTTGTCTGGTACGCTGAGCAATGTAATACCTCTGTAGTTGCCACAGTCCTTTTGGTCCCCTTTCCCTTTCCAGATAGGGATGACCAAGCCCCTTTTCCAGTCAGGGGGAATGGTACCAGTCTCCCAAACGGCAGACAGGACTGCATGCAAACCACAGATCATGGCTTCTCCACCCGCCTTCAACAACTCTGCAGCAATCCCACAGACACCAGCAGCCTTTCCACTTTTCAGCTTAGACACTGCCCTTCTCACCTCTTCGATGGATGGTGGTGTCTCACTGATTGGTGGATCAGCCACTAGTGGCTGTGTGCCAGCCAACGGTAGTTGTGAAGACGGGGGATCTACCCTATACAGTTGCTCGAAGTACTCAGCCCAGCGAGCCCTATACTCACCAGGGTCTGACACAATGCGACCATCCTCTGCTCTCACTAAGCCCGATTGAGAGATGGACTTTGATCGGAGTTCCCTCAGGGCTCGGAAAGCAGGTCGAAGGTCATTTTGGGCAAAATGACCTTCCAACTCTTCCACAATGCCCCTAACGTACCTCTCTTGGTCCACTCTCAAAGAGGCCCTAGCAGACCGAGACAGCTCCCTGTGCAAGACATGGTTCCCATCCAGTCTGGCAGTAAGACTCATCTCTATAGTGTTCAGTGTCACGTCTGAGACAACACACTTCCTTCGCCGAGGTCGGACACCAAGTCACTCCTCGGCAGCTAACAGAGTTCCTCGCTTAAAGGTATCCCACAGTTCAGCAGGGTCCTGTAGAGTACCAAGCACTTCAAACCGATTTGAGACTGCCACTGCATACTCCTGAGCCACCTCCTCACTCTTGAGCCTGCTAGTGAGATCTCGGGATGCGTCTAGATCTGAGGCGGAGCCTTAGTGTTGCGACAACAAGTCTGTGGTCGGTAGCAAAGAACTCAGCACTACTAAAAACTCTACAGTTCTGAAGGATCCTCCAGCGAGTATCCACGAGAATATGGTCGATCTCTTTAGCTACAACGCCAGTATTGGAGTACCAAGTCCAGCGGTGTAGATCTCGTCTCTGGTACCACGAGCCCGAAATCCTCAGCCTCCTAGATCTTGCGAAGTCTAAGAGGTATGAGCTATTGATGTTCCTAGTACCAGAGCCATAGGGACCGATGCATAGCTCGTATCCTTCCCTGTCAGTGCCAGTGACTGCATTGAAGTCCCCCAAGACCATGAGGGTGTCCCCCCGGGGACATTGATCCACTATAGAGTCAAGTTTGGCGTAGAACATCTCTTTCTCTTCAAGCCCACTTCCCTCAGCAGGAAGCGTAAATTGCAATTAGAGATATGAAGCCCAAAGTGTGCTTCATTCTCACAAGCAGAATACGCTCGTCAACAGGGGTAACCTTCTTGACTGAGGAACGGAAGCGGTCAGAGACAGCCACCGCGACTCCCCTAAGGCACGCACCATTGCTACAGCCAGACCAGTAGTAGGTATAACCCCCACTACTGGTCTCACCACAACCTGGCCGTCGCACCTCAGAGTTTACCACAAATCTTGTTATATGTTCATTGATCATCATTTCGAAATATTTTTTTTTTCCTTTCTCCTTTCCAGTCTTTGTGATGACCTTCTGGAGCTGAACAGGAAAATGTTTCCTGATTCCGCCATCGCAGCCCAGATGGCCATCAAAAGGAAGAAGTGTTCTCAAATTACCAAGGATTTAGGGGAGTTCCTAGGTAAAGAATTGGCAAGCAAACTCAAAACAAATAAATTCAGTTTGATTATTGATGAGACAACAGACTGCTCCACCGACAAGGCATGTGCCTTGGTTGTCAAGTATTTTGACAAAGAGACAAATAAAATTCAAACCGCCATGCTAGACCTCATCAATGTTCATGATGGAAATGATGGGTCATCTGGAGAGTCATTATTTAAATTAATCCTTAACTCCCTTCATACATATGAAATCCCCATTAACAATATGGTTGGCTTTGCTGCTGATGGAGCATCCAATATTATGGGAGCTGTAAATAGTGTGAGCAGCAGGTTGAAGGCACAGATGCCTGGCATGACCGTTTTTAAATGTGTGGCTCACAGCATACATTTATGCTCCAGCGAAGCGGCAAAAACACTTCCCAGAAATTGTGAGGATTTGATTAGAAATGTTTACAACTTTTTCTGCCACAGTGCCAAAAGGAAATATGAATTTAAGAATTACTAGGCATTTTGTGGTGTCAAGCCTCATAAGCTTTTGCATCCATGTGCAACAAGATGGCTTTCCTTAGCACAAGCTGTAGAACGGGTGCTTGAGCAGTGGCAGCCACTTAAACTATATTTCAATGGCATTCGTCTGGATGAAAGATTGGCATCGGTGGATAAAATTTGCGAGGCCCTTGATAACAAGGCAATTTATTGTTACTTAAGGTTTTTAAATTACATTTTACCACACTTAAACAAGGTAAATTTGTTATTCCAGTCAAGAGGTCCAACTCTACATTTGGCTCACGAAATTATTTCAAATTTGTATTTGAGACTTCTTAATTATTTTTGTCAGCCACAATCAATACAAGGAATAAAACTCAATAAAGCAGATCCATCGGACCCATCAATACATTTGCCAGTCCAACAAATATACCTCGGCGAGGATATCCACAGCCTCTTCCAGACCCCTCAATACCAGAACCATCAATTAATGACCGAAATAAAAACCACGTACAGAGCCTTTCTAATAACAGTCTGTGACCAAATCAGAAAAAGGTTTGATCTTGGAAATTCATTATGGATAATGGCATCGTACCTACAGCCCAAAAACATAATGAATACGAATATAAGACCTACAGTGCCATCTTTGACACAACTGGCTAAAGAAGTCCCAAGAATCAATAATTATAATATGCAGGCACTCGCAGACCAGTGGCGAGATATAGCATGGGAAATGTTTCCCGAACAATATAAAGATCCGAAATGTGAAATTGAAGCCTTCTATAAATATGTTTCAACAATTAAAGACTCATTGGGCAATTTAAAATATGAATGCCTCGCGCATTTTGCCCTTGAAATTCTCGCACTCCCAATGGCAAACACCGATGTAGAAAGACTGTTTTCTAAATTTAATTTAATAAAAAGAAAAGAAAGGTCCAGTTTGAAATTAGAAACTATTAAATCACTTATTCATTTAAGTGAATATGCAAAACAAAAGGAACAAAACCACACGAAGATATGATTTCCCTGATTTGAGATATCTTTCAAAAATGTTTGTATATATATATATATATATATATATATATATATATATTGTTGTTGTTGTTGAAGTTTGTGTTTCAAGGTTTATTTTGTTGTTATTTTTAATAATAAATCGATAAATTCATATTTGTTTCTACTATACTAGTTTCCCCGGAAATATATACCATTTTCTTTTTTTTTCAATCATAGAAAACGGCGTAAATGACGCATCCGAAAAATTGCCATCCCTGTGAGTTTGCAAACGTGCCCCAATTTTGGACGGATGGTATTTAAACAATGACGTAAATTAGCACAATGCTTCTCCCAATCGTTGGTACTTTCCTTGCTCTACGGAAGGCGGCTAAAAAAAAGCGGTTTCAAAACCCCCGCACCAAAAGCCACTTGGCTCTCACGTCGTACTCCTCTTCTGCTCCCAAGATAAACGGTCGTGCATCAGGTGGGCTGTCGCCGACTGGACCTGCGGGAGCTCTGTTAAGAAGCAATAGCCAACAGCTGCGGGCAACCAGTATAGTCATCATATATTAGTTGAAAGAAAAAGTGAAAACATAAAAAATTTACAAGCCCAACCCAAACCTAACCTCTCCTTTCCTTTTATTCCCTCTACCCCCCCCCCCCTCTAGCTATACCTGTGTTATTTATGACTGTTTCTTATGCTCTAAGACAACAATACCCATTTCCCACTCTCTGCGTTAACATTAACTACATCGTGTATTAGGGAAGTTTTTGATGTAACTGTAAGTGATGATTTTGTGAAAAATGACACTCGGCGTAAAGCAAGAAGAATAACATAGAGTGTTATTGAAACTGGGTGACCAGAAATTTCATTAAGGTGCATATTCTTTGGTGAAGAAAAAATAATCAGTTGAGAAACTTGGGAAATCTGTCTAATTTCCTTCACAGTGGAGCTAAGCCCCACCCTATTGCTAGGTTTTGTATACACTGCTGATGTCCATAGATGTTGATGCTGCAGAAAATTTTCAATAAATAAATATGTAGTAAGTTGGATATGGGTGACATGGATGTCTTGTCATGAAAAATGGTGTAGATGAGGTGAACATGTCATGAGTGCACACAGTGCTCAGAGCGAAATTAACACAGCAGGCCTTCACAAAAGGGCTTGTTCGCAAGCTTCAGCAGGAATTTCCATCTGATAACTATGCCTGGGAAAGGGCTGCTTCCAGGATGGACACCATGTTAATTTGTTTATTATTATTATTATATATTTGTATATGTATATATATGTATATGTGTGTGTGTATGTATATATGTACATGTGTAAATATGATATATATATATATATATATATATATATATATATATATATATATAATGTATGTATGTATGTATGTATGTATATATATATATTATATGTATGTATATGTGTATATATATGTATATTCATATGTGTATATATGTATTTATGTATATGTATATATGTATATGTATGGACATAAAAAAATTAACTTGAAATTCAGGCCTTATTTGGGGCTGGAAGAACAAACAAACTAGGGAGCTAGCAGTTTATAGGAAATCATATATCAAAGGATATGATATGAGTTGACTAGATATGTTCATCAGTCTTAGAATTATTAACTTAGTGACTGCATCTCAAGTTTGTAAAAATAAGTTTTAAGTTATGTGGCAAATCTTTTCAACAATGTATTCATTGTACCTGAAAACTTACATGCGCATTTTGTAGTGTATCATCAGTCTTTATTTTATACAAACATCATTCCAAACTATGGTAATTGGAAGTACACGAGTTATTAGTTCCAATATCCTTCATAGTTTTTCTCTGCTTTCTTTCTCTCTCAGTGTAGCTAGTGAAGAGAGGATTAAAAAAAAAATAGTTTGAACCTGTGAATATTATTTTTCATCAATAGAGATAAGAGTTCTTTTTTCACTCTCATGAGGCCCCTATCTTCTTTCACCATGAATAATGAAAAATATCTGTAGAGATGGAAATGTAATAGAGTAACTCAGGCAGTAATATCTGTCTTTAAAATAATTTTGATAATTCCTATATGTACAGAAAGCATTTCTTATATCAGCAGTATTGTGAGTGTTATATTTCAAGATTACCATGATTACCATAAAAATGATTGCAGATTTTGTAATTCAGGAAAGGCAGATCCTAGCTGAATGCTGTGCTCTGTTGTAACAAGATGCAGATTTATGGGGATATCAAGCCCCATAAGGTGGAGACAAACTACATTTTCATATGGCACAACAGCATCCTTTAGGACCTTCTCTTTTGTTTGTAGAAGAACAAACCAGATAAGTCCTGGACTCCAGTCAAGAAGGGCAATTCAGACAACAAGGTATAAATACTTTTGTCAGTATTTTCATTATTATTACGATTGTTTTATCATTGTTTCTGGAAGCTTTGTTTTGAGTGTATACAATTAACATATATATATATATATATATATATATATATATATATATATATATATATATATATATATATATATATATATATATATATATATATATATATATTTTTATATATATATATATATATATATATATATATATATATATATATATATATATATATATATATATATATATATATATATATTTAGATATATATATATATATATATATATATTTTCTTCTTTTATATTAAATATGTCTATTATTTTTTGGCATTGAAGACCTCAGAATGTCAATCCTTTGCTCGTGGCTGTGCTTCGACCAGTTAGTAAGGTGGCAGCAGTACTGGTTGGCAGAGGTTTCAGAAAATGGTGGCAGTCACTACCCAAGCAGAAAAGGGAACTGTTTATACAGCATTTACACCGTAATATAAGGATTTATATTTGTAAGTCCACTGAAATCTGCTCAGTTTTGGCATATAGAATATTGAAAATGGTGTTTTATAGTTAATATTGTATCTGCCATACAGACTGAATCATTAACCCATTACCGATGGGCATGGCACGGAGATATTCATGCCATACCCGCGGTGAGTTTACTTGTTTAATTGTTTTAACACATAGATGGCTACACTTGTGCTAAGTCACCAATAAGCCAGTTAAGAGTACTGCCTGTCTTGCCAATTCACCCTTTCATTGATTTAGGAAAGTAGTTTACCATATTTTATTTTGCTGTTACTAATGTTTAAAACATTATAGTAATTATAATGTTTATAATAAAAATAACCCCATTGACATTCATAGCACTATTAAAAAATATGGTTTTCCCGCCAGTTCATGGAAAGGTGAAATCAGATAAGGTCA